CTAAGAAAGCCAAGAAGAGAGCAGAAGGTGCCAATTCCAACGTGTTCTCTATGTTTGAACAGACCCAGATCCAGGAATTTAAGGAGGTGGGTGCAGCTGTTGAATCATACGCCCGGATGGAGATTCCCACCTGTCAAAGAGGACGTTCCCTCGTTCCACGTTCCCCGCAGGGACCTAGTGGTTAGAGGTTTTTATCATCCAAACAACCCCAAATTCACTCTCAACATGTGCATGAACCGTTTAAAGAAATTATTTTTAATAATTTTTGCCAATCTAAAAGTAAAGCGTATTTCTTGTTGAAAATGTTGGGGGAAATTTTCAGAAAAACACAAAGAAGAACATAAAAATGATCTACAATTCTATGACCCAGAAATAATCAGTTAGCGTTTTAATATTCGCCCTTCAAGTCACTTTTCGTATTACATGTATATACTTTTAAATTATTTTGCTATTTTTCCTTGAGCAATTCTGCATCCACATTTTCTATCAATTTACTGAAACCACTTCCCATGGTTGGATGTTACATGTGCTTAGAATGCTCTACCATTATAAATAACACATCTTTGCTGGTTTCCTTGGGGTAAATTCCTAAAAGCAGAACTGTTGGGTCAAAGAACTTTAAAAAAGGAACTGAAAACAGCTAGAAGCACTGGCCCTCCAGAAATGTGGTACAAATACCGACTCCCAGCAGCCCCAAAAGGAAAAAGTGCCTTTCCCCCCACATCTCCATCAACATTGGGTATTAAGAGCCTAAAAATATTATTTCTGCCAAACTGAGAGATGAAAAAGAGCATCTCTTAGATTTTAAATTCTATAGCCGTCCATTGTCGAACACGAGCAAGGTTGAAACCCTGTCACATTCAATGGGAGTGCGCCTTATTAAATAAACCTAAGTACCAATTAGGCCGAATTAAGCCACTGCCCGCAGGCTTGGAAGGATAGACGCTCAATGAATTTTCCAGCAGTCCCCGTGGCTCACACTGAGTCATCCACACTCCCACCTGGGCCTTCAGAGAAAGAGATGTTGAAGAGGCCAGTGTGTCCTGTATCAAAGGCGAAACCATTCGGGGCTTCCAAATGGTACACAAACCCTTAACACCTTTTGCCCTTAGATCACAGGAGTGTCGTGTCCCCTATGCCACCCGGGAAAGAAGAACTCCCACGATGAAATGTCATATCTGAACTCTGTCATATTTCTGTCATATTTGAAATCGTCACCTTCCCCTCCCTTCCCCCTCACCCTGCCCCAATCTCCAGAATGAGATCAGTTGCTGGGTGTGGGGTGTGGGGAGTGGGTGCAAATACTTTCAGGAACCAGCTACAAAGAACTCAAAAAACATGGAGATGATAAGTCATTTGTAAAATACCTGGGCATTTACAAAGCTCTTGGCGTCTCCGTGGGAGCCACCTGGGAAAGATAGCTGGCCCCATTTTATAGATAACTGGGCTTTGGTGAGGGGAGGGGGGCCGCTGATGAGACCCCAGGTATTAACTTGATTTTTTATTTTATTTTTTAATCAAATATTGTTTGTTTATTTTTGAGAGAGAGAGTGTGTATGCATGGGGGAGGGGCAGAGAGCTAGGGAGGCAGAATCCCAAGCAGGCTCTGCACTGTTAGCACAGAGCTGGACGTGGGGCTTGAACTCAAGAACCATGAGATCTTGACCTGAGTGGACATCAAGAGTTGAATGCTTACCCGACTAAGCCACCCAGGCGCCCCAACTTGATTTTTTAAAGAACGACTTCATAGAGATATAACTCACACACCTTCAATTCACCTTTTTAAAACTACGTGTACAATTCAGTGGTTATTTGCTATAGTCACAGAACTGTGCAGGCATCACCACTAACTTCCCAACATTTCTATCACCCCATAAAGAAACCTCACACCAA